ATTACATTTTTTATTTTTCTCCGATATCCGATCCAGTAATTTAGGTCAGTATCGGACCGATACCGATACGTAATATCGGATCGGTCCATCTCTAGTGCATACATATGGGTGTGTAAGGTCTCTGAAAGAAAAAGGTTCTCTGATTTTGTGGTCTGCAGCAAAATAAGAAAAATTTCAGTGTGTAAAGAAGTGTTTTTAAGGTACAATGCAGAACTTGTATCTAGCATCTAAGTGCAGCCCAATAACTGGTTTTCAAGGAGAGGGGAGATTAATTATAGTGAACTGAAATCAACCACATCCTGACAGAAGATATTTAAATACAAGTTGCAATTATTAAAACCTGTATTGCAATTCCCAATTACAGTGTAACAGACTCCCACCTCCCAATCAATACCCTGTATCTCTCATGTTTATAACATGCTGAAAAGACCATATTTTTCCAACTGTAGGGCAGATCATGTACTTCCAATAATTTGCATCTCAAGATAATGAGATGCTACACCTGACCAGACCGACATCTGCCGTGTAATCTTACTGTAAAATCTCAAATACTGTTTCAAGCATGACACACAAGTCCAGCACTTCGGAGGTTGGAGGCCTGTTTAGAGAGTATTTAATTTGTCAAAAGCTGAAAGAATTAAACAGTCACATTGGGGGGGGTTTTTGGTAATACAATCCCAGAGTTTTACAACTAGTGCATCCCTTTGTCTAGGTTCATTTAATTTGTACATTTATTTACGTTTTATTTGGTCTTACTCTGTGAGGAGCTATGGGCTGCACGTCTGTATGCAAAGTGCTACATAAACAGTGGTATGGCTTTATTATTTGATTGACCTCGGCTTAGATCCATCCAGCCTGAGCAGAGGTTTTGTAAAGTAGGGCAACAACTGTGATCAATATGGAGGTTGCTTTTTTAAGCCAACTTCAGCGAAAGGTCATATTGTGATACCACTGTGCATCTGTCCACAGCCCTAATTCATAACTCATCTACAGGTGTCCACGTAAACGACTACGTGATCGCTCAACTACTGCTCATGCAATGCAAACTGCAGTGAACATGTAACGATGGCGATTAGAGCCCTTTAATAATCAATAACGACCAGGAGCTGACATTAGTCTTATAATAGACAAGTCAAACACGCCGCCTCCGACTGTAACCTTTACTTGCAGTAAACATTAGTCATCACTTCCTCTACAGCCGTTATGCCAGCAACAGTGCTACACAAAACAATGCCACGACGAGTTTCTGTTGACCTGGTCTAACCTACTTTGAAAGCAAAATGGCCTTGTCTTTGCAAGGCAGACAACGGCGTATCCTAGCAAACAGTTTCCACTGCAGGCACACAAGGCCTCGTCTTGCCGTAAAGCAGTATCCCACAGCTTACTAGCTAGCTGAGTCGGTGAGTTTGTTAGCTTAGCTGGTGTGTGAACATGCTAAGAAACGGTACCCTTCCATTTCCCCCCACTCACACCAGTTAGTAAACGTTAACAACAACGTTTAGTCGCTACGCGTGTCAACCCGTTAACCACTGCAGGCAAGAGGCGTTTAAAAGATCAGCAAACAAGCCGGACAGTAGGCTAGCTAACCGCCAGCATTATTAGCACTGCGCTAACGAAGGAAGCTAGCGTCTGCTCTGCTAGTCAACGGGGCTGTTGTTTTCACCGACACACACTCCACTCGAAAATCTGATGTTTCACTGTCTGCGGCACACCCGCTTACCTCGAAAGAATTATCCTTCAGTTCACCACGGAGAAACAGGTGAATGTGTGGCACCGGGACAGACACAGGATCCCTCTCTGTCGTCGTTTGCTCGATGTACACATTGGCTCAGCTCCTGGAACAGAGACGAGACGGCAGGCGTTAAGTACCAGCCGCTCAGAGCGCGCACAGTTAAGTTTGCCACGGGAGCGCGCCTTGCACGAATTGCAGGTTGCTCGAAATGGTTCAATTTTATAATAATAACAATAATGCGAAAATAAATATACGCATATATGATTGCATCCCACACAATTTACTGCATATCTTTTGAAGCTGTTTCACATTATGAAAATATTCTCACCGTTTACAAAGAATATTAACGCATGCTCACACTTGTACTATCGCCTTAAAATCAAGGCTCGTCTAGCAGGTTCTCACCTTAGTTTCACTTCATTATACTATTCGCCTGCATCTTGTATCTGTACTGGATTTGATCTCTTGCCTCTCCGCTATAATGTAAGTGAAGGAAACTGCACATATGCTTGAACCAACAAGTCCCACAGATAATCCTTAGAAATTGGACATTTAAATAAGCAGTTTTAATGAAAAAAAATAGCAAAGGGTTTTAAAAAGAGACTTTGGACAGGTATAGCGAAGATTGAGGTCAATCTTGATGCTGGACACATGTAACTGGCTGGGATTAAGATTTAGAGGTCGTGTTGTTTCTTTCATAGCAATCTGGACATAAGGGAAGCCATCACCACGCCCCCCCCCCCCCCCCCCCCCCCCCCCCCACACACACACACACACACACACACACACACACAGCCATCTACCATCAGGAGGGATGAGGGGTAGGAGGGGGAGCTAAATAGTAATGTGAGGTGGGGGTGGGAGGAGCTGCTGCGCAGGCTGGGATTACAGAGAAGGATTGGTTATGTAAGTGTGTTGTCCCAGTAGGCAAGCTGCAGCAGGAGCAAACAGTAGGCTGAGAGACACTCAGACAGCAAGAATAGTAAGAGAAACAGCAGACCTTTGTAAATATAATCCTGCTGTCCTCCCGTAAACAGTGGCTATAAGCCTTCTACTGTAACCGGGCAGAGTGCAACACATTTTCTTTGTAAATACATGAAGTACACCATCATTGCATGCACACCAGAAACAACTTCTCACATTTAGGGTATCACATGTGCATTTAAATATAACAGCTTACTTTGGTCACATATACATCACATGCGCACTTCTTCTCTAAACAAAAAACACAAAAGAGTATCTCTGCTTTTTTGGGTCAGTTACTGTAGAAACAGAACTCAAGAGAAAATACAGAGTACTGGAGAAATATAAAGAGGGTATGACATTTTTATAAGGACACAATAAAAGACAGTGGGATGTCAAATGTCTGAATTCGGTCAATTATGAGGATGTCCCTTTTTTCATCATTTAGCTAGGAAAAAAACAATCTACCAATTGTGAATGCACTGGAGGCACTCATTAAGCCCATTTCTTTATATTAATTAGAGGAATAGAGCAAGCAAATAAAAAGGAATGGAACTACAGAGAGCACCAAGGAGAATGTGGGAGAGGGGCTGGGGAAGGAAGACAAGAGGAAGTGGAGCAATCCAAACCCATGAGAATGTTAAGCTGTGCTGGTATGCTAGAGGAATTTGAATTTCTTGGTCGGACATAACAACATGCACAGTTTTTTTTTTCCTTTAGCAAAGTGAGAAAGAGAAAAGGGTGGAGGGAAGACGCCAAAAAGAAATGTGGAAGGAAGAGATAGTTTGAAGAGGAGAGGCAGAAAATAGAGTTTAAGAGAAAGGGAGGAAGGAAGTTGTGAGACAAGGATAATGGATGTAATGCAAATGGGAGAAGAGTATGGAGAAAGAGGATGGGAATGGAGGGGTATGTGGGAACGGGGGGAGTGTTAAAAGAAACGAAGGAGGAAATGGGTGAGTGAGAGCTGGCAGAATCATCAGCACATTCCAGACATAATGTTGTTTGGCAGTAGATTGTTATGCTGAAATCAAAGCAAGTTAGTAGCTGTGCATTGGCCAAGATCCTCTCCGAAAAACTTGTTTGCTGCTGTCTGGAAGCCTGGTCAAGTGGAAAACCTTGACCGGGCTGGAGTTAAACTCCCATCCTCTAAATTCCAGCTCATGCTGGAATGAGCAAACTAGAAAGTGCAAATACACTGCATATACTGGAAGCACGGATGGTGTTTGAAGCATTGTCTCTTTGATGCTGCTGCTACCCTCGTGCCACCTGTGGTACAATAACTTTCTCTCTCATCTTCGTCTGAAGATTTAATTGTTTACAATATACCTTCCATGCCTGCTTGTCTAGTTAAACCACTGAAAGGACATCTGGGAGAAATACACGTATTTGTTGGCTTGGCAGGACTTGGATAAGAAGATTAATACCACTCTTACGTCTGTATGGTAAATGTGAAGGGGTGGTGGTTAGAGGTGATGTTGGTTCACAGCAAGGGCATTATAGGATTGAATCTGCCAGCCAGATGGGGCCTTCCTGTGTTGGAGTTTGTATGTTCTTGCTGTTAAAGGACTCAGGTTTCCTCCCACAATCCATAGGCATGCATGTTAGGTTGAGTAGTGATATAAAATTGGGCATAGATATGGATCATAGTGTAAATGAATGTAAAATGTTGAGCTAACAGCAGGCTGAACGTCAAAAAACTCGAAACTCAATTTCAGGTTGTTTTTTTTTTTTTTACTCTCAGCTCTGTGTGATGTCTTTACAAGAGGATAGACTTAATTTAGCCATCTCAGGCACACACCTCTGCAGCCCTCAGCATCCCAAGCCATGTGCTGGTTAAACTTTCTGTGGATTTGCTAATGTTCAAAATGTATCATAAGAAATGTATGTTGCATGTGTATTGATAAGTGAACTGTGACACAGTGAATATTCTATTCTATTCTGAAATCCGACTGTTAAATTATGGTCTACGGGCAAAGATCAAAGCTCAGCTGCAGCACAAATAGCATTGTCTGAGTATTCATAACCATAACTACAGGGTTGTGCATGACATACTGAAGAACAAGAAGTGAGGCAATTAAGGACAGAGTCTGACTCAGAAAAACAAGGAAACAGTGGCACAAACAGGATTATGCATTTGAATGACTTTATTAAGGATAGAAAAACCACAAGTCTATAATGGAAACTTGTATTTCCCCATTTATTGTTCAAGATGACAGTATAAAGTGCAATCACAGTCTGCCCACAAAGAGTCGGCTGCTTTTGTTAATGGAGCATCAGATAGTTTACCAGTTTGGTGACAAAATAAAATGTGAAAAATAAAATGCAATGCACGAGACGAGAAAAGATTTTATTTCATCAAGATGTTTTTTATTTTTTGTCCTCTTCTGCTTAACACTTGGCAGCAGTCGGCAGTTGTAGAAGCAGCCTACAGCCCTTTGACATTGTTTTAAAATAATATTACATTCCACCGGCTTATAGTTTCAGCATTTTTTTAAACAGGTAAGTGGATTTGCTTATGCACAGGTCTGTTAAGGACCTCAGGCTGACACCTGGACTTTTGACTGGATCATTGCAACACCTTGATTCTTTTCTTTTTCAGCCATTGTGCTTTAGATTTACTGCTGTGCTTGGGATCATTGTCCTGTTACATGACCCAATTTCAGCGAAGCTTTAGCTGTTGGATGGATGGTCACACATCTGACTCTAGAATACTTCAGTACACAGAGGAGTTCATGGACAATCCAATGACTGCAAGGTGCCACACCATGCTTCACAGCTGGTATGAGGTGTTTCTGCTGATAGGTTGTGTTTGGTTTTCTTCAAATGTGCTGCTGTGCATTTTGGCCACATATCTCCCCTTCAGTCCCGTCTGTCCAGGGGACATAGTTCCTGAAGTCTTGTAGTGTCTTTGCAAATCTAAGTTGTGCTGGCATGTTTTTTTTAAGAGACAAGACCCTTCCAAATAAACAGTCAACCCATCCAAACAAGTCACACGGTCAGAAGACAATCAAACCTGTTTGAAATCCTGGTCGCCCCTCGTGAGGGTATCGCACTGTTGAAGCAGTGTCATGAGCACTTAATGCAACCTCTCACACATGCATGTGCAAACACAGAAATGGAAGCGAAAAAGATGGAGTAGCATGGCAGTGCAGCATGTGGTCTGGAGTAAGCGATGGAGGCCCAACTTGTAGAACTTTGGCAAGCTTGTCCGAGCCTTTTCGGTGTGGTCTCACAAAATTATCACGACTGCAACAACTGTGAAAAGAGTTGGATGGACATTGCTGCTTAATTATGTTTTTCATTAGCAATATAGCAAAGTTGATGGTGGTTGTGGTGTGTGTCTGTGTGAGTGAAAGACAGAGAGGGAGAGCGAGACACAGATTTTGTGATATATATTAGCTATATAATGTAAGCTTTGGTAAATGGCCTGTATTTGTATAGCGCTTTACTAGTCCCTAAGGACCCCAAAGTGCTTTACACATCCAGTCATGCACACATTCACACACTGGTGATGGCAAGCTACATGTAGCCACAGCTGCCCTGGGGTGCACTGACAGAAGCGAGACTGCTGAACACTGGCGCCACCAGGCCCTCTGACCACCACCCGTTGCCTACTGGTGAAGTGTTGCCCAAGGACACAACGACCGAGACTGTCCAAGCCGGGGCTCGAACTGGCAACCTTCCGATTACAAGGCGAACTCCCAAGTCTTGAGCCACGATTGCCCAACATTTGTAAGCACGGTGTGAGCACTCAGGTCGCATCAGAGCATCGGGTCGTATAATGTGGGAACATGCATTGTGACCTACAAACTTTAACCCCTGCGATTCAGTCGTACACTTTGAGCAAGAGCTGAATAACACAATTGAAAAAGATCACACAGTGTATACCCAAATTTAGAAAGGAAAGAAATACTCAATTAAAACTAACTTCTAGAGTGTAGAATTTGTTGTGTTTCAATTGCTAAAAATTCACTGGGGGATAAAAATATTTGTTGTTTCCTGTAATCTAGAGTTCCTAGGGTCAAAATCATCATGGATTACTGGGAAATTGCTGGGCAACAGCCAAATATTTTACATGAAAAGACCTCTTGTGGCTACAAGAGTCACCCCTCATCCCAAATTAGATTGGCGGGCTTGTGGGGAATTGTCTTGTTGCTATTTTTGGGGGCTAAAACATACTTTTGTGAACTATCCACTTCACAGTGAGTTTGAG